CGCCAAAAGATGGGGTCCCTGAGATTGTTGCTGTTGTTGATGAGGAAAGTGACTCCATGGATGAGGAGGAGTTGAGTGAGCAGGGTGACATGGACTCAGACGAGGATTGGAAGCCAGTGAGGGGCTTTTTCCCGGCTAGAGTGCTTCAGAAGAAACCTGATAATGAAACGGAGGATGACGGGGAAGAGGAGGAAGAGGGAGAACATGATAATTATTCTCACTTTGCCCCCAAACACAGGGAGCTCTGCACGGATTGCGGGATGTTTTTCAACAAGCGGTGGCCTCACACGTGTGAGCACAAAATGAAACCCTATCCTTGCAACATTTGTGGGAAAAGATGTGTCAGTGAGGTCGCTCTAATTCGCCACAGCAGAGTCCATGATGCAAACTATGAGCATCGGTGTAAATACTGCCATGTTACATTCAAAACAAAGGTGGACAAATTCAGTCACGAGCAGACCCATCTAACTGAAGGAAAGCCTTATAAGTGTCCCGACTGTTCAGAGACATTTGCTCAAATAAGGAGCGCAGAATACACCTTGTGGATCACAGAGGCCCCCCGCAATTAAAATGTGACATCTGTGGGATGGAGTTCCTCTGGCCACTTACTCTGCAGAGACACTTATCTGTGCACACGGGAGAGAAGCCGTTTAAGTGTTCGGTGTGCCAACGTGGTTTCAACCAGGCAGGCCACCTGAAATCCCACATGCGTCTGCACACAGGGGAGAGGCCCTACAAGTGTCAGCATTGCGACAAGTGCTTCAATCACAACGTGAGCTTGAAGAGTCACGTCCAGCGTTACCACACGCCGAGCTCTGGATGTGAGCAAAAGAAGGAAAAGATAAACGAAAGGGAAAGCGACACTGTTGATGCTCAGGATAATGGGAACAAGAGCGGTGCAGATTTAGGGCTTGACAATGTAGAGGAAGAACAGGATACAGAAGAGGAGGGGCAGAATGAGAGAATATATGGGACCACCAAAAAAAGGAAAACCACAGGTAGGCCCATAGGAAGGCCAAAGAGCTATGAATCAGGCAACTCGGTTATGGCAGTTAAAGAGGAAGGCCAGTGTTCAAACACAAAGACTGGAAAACCGCAAGGGCAGAAGTTGAAGAAAACAAGAGCCAGTGATGAAGAAAGCGGCGATGAGCCGGGCGACAGTGACAAGTCCTTTGAAACTGTAGAGGAGGGAGAGGAGAGGAGTGAGAAGGTGGCATCGAGCACAAGCAGACCGAGGAGAAAGGCAAAGAATTCTGACAGTGACTCTGATTTCGACCCAGCAGAGTCAAAGAAAAAGAGGCACAGCAGCCAGAACAGTGGTAAAGGTTTAGGAAAGCGCAGGGGACGACCAAGGAAAAATCTAGTGGTTTAAAAAATTGTGAAAAGAAAAGAGCCATATTAAGTGGACATTCATACAGAACTGCACTGATTTCCTAGAAATGTACATAACATGACAGACAAAACATGTACACCTCTTTTAAGAGAAACTATTGCTTTGATTTCAAAATATTTTTGAATCCTGTTACCTGATGTGTATTCTATGGGACCAAACTGGATATAAGTACATTAAACAAGACTGATGTTAAGTGCTTGTGTTCCTTTCTGATGTAAATTCAACATTCAGTACCCTCCAAAAGTATTGGAACAGGAAGGCAAATTCCTTTATTTTTGGGTTTAAGATCAAAAGATGAGACAAGAATTAAGAATTTCAGCTTTTATTTCCTGGTATTCTCATCTAGATGTGTTAAACAACTCAGGACATATCACCGTTTGTTTGAACCCACCCATTTTTCAAGTGAGCAAAACTATTGGAACATGTGACTGACAGATGTTTCTTGTTGCCCAAACATTAAATAGCTCTGCATGACTAGTCTAAGTTTTCATCCTTCTTTCAAACCTATGAAGACTGTATTTCCTGTTAAAGGGAATAAACCAACACGAAGACCAGAGAACTGTCCATGGGAGAAAAACAGCCACTGTCAAGCTGAGAAAAGAAGGAAAATCGACCAGAGCCATTGGACAAACATTGGGCATAGTAAGCACAACAATTTGGAATGTCCTGAAAAAGAAAAACTACTGGTGTACTGAGCAACAGACATCAAACAGGTCGGCAGTAGTTGATGATAGAAATATTGTGAGAGCTGTGAAGAAAACCCCCAAAACATCAGTGACCTCTCCAACGACCTCCACAGTGCAGTGATGAAGGTATCACAATCCACTGTTTGAAGAAGACTCAGAGAGCAGAAATACAGAGGCCACACCACAAGATGCAAACCACTCATCAGCAGGAAGAATCCAAAGGCCAGATTGAAATTTGCAAAGAAGTACAGAGATGAGCTGCAAAAGTATTGGAACACAATCTTATGGACTGATGAGAGCAAGATGAATCTCTACCAAAGTGATGGAAAGGCCAAAGTGTGAAGATAGAAAGGAAATGCTTATGATCCGAAGCATACAAGCTCATCTGTGAAGCATGGTGGAGGTAATGTCATGGCTTGGGCGGGCATGGCTGCTTCTACACCTCATTAATATTTATTGATGATGTAACTGATGATGGTAGCAGCAGAATGAATTCAGAAGTGTACAGAAACATTTTGTCTGCCAATTTACGGAGAAAAGCATTGAAAGTAATTTGTAGGAAGTTTATCATGCAGCAGGATAACGACCCAAAGCACACTGCCAACAAAACAAAGGACTTCATCAGGGGGAAAAAGTGGAAGGTTTTAGACTGGCCAAGTCAATCACCTGACCTTAACCCAATAGAGCATGCATTTCACCTCCTTAAGAAACTGAAGGGAGAAACACACCGAAACAAACAAGAACTGAAAGAAGCTGTGGTAAATGCCTGGAATAACATCACAAATGAAGAATGCAACAATTTGGTGATGTCGATGGGTCACAGGCTTGAGGCAGTTATTGCAAGCAAGGGTTATGCCACCAAATATTAAATGTTATTTACTTTAAGATTATTTGTTCCATTACTTTTGCTCACCTAAGAATGCTGTGGTCTAATACAAACGGTGATATGTCCTAAGTTGTTTAACACATCTAGATGTGAATGTCAGGAAATAAAAGCTGAAATTCTGAACTCTTGTCTCATACTCATCTTTTGATCTTAAACCCCAATGTCTTCAGTGAACAACAAAAACAAAGGAATTTGCCTTACCGATCCAGTACTTTTGGAGAGGACTGTACTTCTTTCTTCTTAGTGTTATCTGACCTGTAAACCACTTCTAAGTTAGCCCCACAGGTTGAGAGGTAACTTTACTTGTACTGTACATCTAACAGGTCATCTTGTCGGACCGTTGATTGTCACAAAGGTTGGGTGTTTATTTTGACATTTACTGTGGCAACAGGTTTGGAAAAAGTTTCAACCACTTCTATAGTTCAGTGACAACCAAGTAATGACAGGAGGATTAATGCCATGCAGTAGTTAGACCGGAAACAGTGGTCTCCATGATAGCCTACTTTGTAATCATGTACACACTTAAAAGGGTTGGTTCATTAAAATGTTTTAAAAGCATATTTTCTGACTCTCTTGTGGTGATATTTAGCCATGCCGATAGCTTTGGTGTTATTTACCCTTATTTTGGGATGTCTGTCTTTTCAGAACAGTGTGAATGGACTGGTTTGTTGTGCTATTTTAAAAAGCATTTAAGAGTACCATACTTTTACATCAACAGTGTCCCTGTCCTCTGGGTAAAGAGGTTGTCCCAGATAAACTCAGTTTAGTAGCTGTCTCAGTGGTCTCTTATTAGGAAAGCATAGACTTTCGTGGGTCTCTGTCACCTTCCTGTAGGTATGAGTATGGCTGAATCCCAGTCTGCACACTCAGACTCACAGACTTTGAGACGCGTTCACGGTCAGTCCATGAGCATGGCTTAGGGTTGGCCCACTGTCAAATTGTGCAAAGTGCAGGAGGGCTCTCTGGCAGACTTTTTGAGCCCTTTATGCACACTTTCCTCTCTGCAGACTTCGCCTGAGGGAATTACCCACAGCTTATAGCGTTATGATATTAAATACTGGGTTACCAGGGGAAGCCTGCCTTAAAAAAAAGGTAAATAAACATGGAAGGAGCAACTTCAAGAAAAAAGAAGTTTACATGTAAGTGTATGATGCTGTTTTGATAAAAACGAGTAAAGTGATTATTTGAAAAGTACCTCTTCTCCACGGGTTATTTTCAAATAATCAATTTATTAGGCAAGATTGTTCAAATCAGACTGTCAGTCCATTCATTGCCTTGGCTATGAAGAAAGTAATAAAGGTCAACCAAAAAAGTCCCAAACCCACATTTGTTTTGGTGTAGTTAAGTTAATATGATATGTTGCAAAGTGTGGGGCTGTCCCATTACACCATTTCAGGCCCTTACAGCCCTTAAGCATTTAATTACCAGGTCCAGGAGACATCAACTAAATCTGTGAGGGTTCAGGGTTTAGGTGGGTTTAGGCTATAGGGTGGAGGAGGCGTGTCATTTCATGTTGAAAAGTGGTGGGGGCATTTTCTGGGGGTCCTTCCCCAGAAGACTTTGAGCATCAAACACTTAATTTCCTGCATTCTGGAGACCTTTTGTGCTCCAGTTTATGGTGGAAATGTAATTATTGATATTTAAAGGGAAACACAAAATTCAGGTGGCAAATGACAAATCAAAATATAAAAATATACTGTAATATAATGCAGTAATCAGTAGGTTTTTAGTTTTTTGTAGCTTTGGGAACTTTTTCTGACAACGTAGATCTGTTTCTTCTGTATTTACATTGCAGTGCAATTCGGATTCAATTTGTGTTGTGCAAATAAACCTTATCTAAACCATATCTTGATGCAAGTAATTTTTTTGAACATGTTTTACAAATGCTTTCAAAAATTGATGGGGACATGTCCCTAGTGTCCTCAATGTAAATGACACCTACGGGTGGAGATGGGGATTGGGTTTATTTTCTCTTGAATTGACCCTAAATCCGGGATACGCGTGATATGAAACCACGCGAACCCCGTACGAAACCCCGCCCAGGTAGCGCCCATTCAGCCGACACTGCCGCTGCACACATGGCTAGCTGTTAGCTTAAGACTTTTTAGGACATTGGGATAGTAGTCGGAACCCAGAGAGCATTAACTTCAACGCCGACCACTTTTTAAAACTGAGGGCCTGACCTTATATCCGGGATGTGCTCGGTCGTCGGCTGTGATTCAGGGCGTCGCGGTGCGCAAAGGTTCAAGTTACCGGAGGATCCGGAGAGGAGACTGGAGTGGGTCCAGTTCCTCTTCGAAGTCAACGGGCAGCGACTCAAAGAATCGTGCTGGACTGATATAACAATTTGTCGTGAACACTTTACTGATGGTTGTTTTGTAAATGCGAGTCTGACTGGCACGGTCCAGCTAAAGTGTAGCGCTGTCCCATCCCTGTGTATCAAGTCTGAGCATGAGGAGCCATGTCAGGTGAGGACAAACTATGTGGCGATGTTGCTTTGTAAGCTTATGGCTTTAACCTCTGCCAACTCTTTGTGAGTGAAGAAACGTGCATTCATACGTAACTAACGTTACACAGTCCATATTTTGTTAAGGGTGTGTTTGTTTTGACACACGTATCTGCCTGAGTGGACAGAGTGCATACTTTTTGTTGACAAATGAGCAGTTCGTTGCATAAATAGACTGTATATAAAAAGGTTGCATACTGTAAATGAAGCGCACAGAAGTCCAGAGCCACAGTAACATTTCAGATGTAATTGTTGAGGACAGCAAATGTGCTCAAATGTAGTTTTTTAGGTTGACACAATTTGTGTGGTTGGGTTTTCATTATATTATTGATTGAAGTAATGATATAAACAAACATGCTAGTTATATCGGGACAATTTAATCAACCCCTGCAGTTACATTTTCAATATTTTAAACTCCAGCATTAAGGAGATAAATAAGAAATAAGCCTATAGTAGGTGTTTATACTGTAGTCATGTTTGTTATATTTCCACATTTATTTTTTTTACAAATAAAAACCTGATTAATCCAATCACAAACACTTTTAAATGTCATAGCAGGGGTGCAACATGTAGAGTATAATATGTGATTCATCTGCATCTGCAAATCGACTTTTATTGACCCAGTTGAAGTACTCTACGGACAGGTGTATTTATTGGCCTAGCCCTGTAGGACTATTGATACTGCATAATGAGCACTTGCCTTGTCTTTGGTGTATAGACAACATAATTCAAGGACTGTGATACTGTGTTATCCCACTTCTCACAGTTACAGGCCTCAGGAGTCATTCCACGCCTATGCACACTAAAACTGTAATTTACTTCCATATAAAATAAATCACGTAGTTCGGTAAGATGTATTGTATGATGCTTTTGTTACTGCAACTCAGTCCATGCTACAACTACACACTTTAACCTTTTTGTTTCTTTGTTTAGGAGGAAGTGAAAACAGAAGCTGCATTTCAGTGTGATCAACTTAAGACCTGTAATAGTCCATCTACCTATTTTGAAGAATCGGGACGAACTTCAGTAGGTAAGAAACTTGACGTTGTTAAGCGTTAATAAAAAGGGAGTGGGTATTCACTCAAATGTTGTGGTGGTGTTGTTTTTTTATGTAAATTTAAATTTAATTTGCAGCTGCCCCAGAGAGCCCAGTGCCAAGTGATACTTCAGATGTTTCCATGCCTGATTATGGTCAGATGCTACAAAACGTTGTGAACATTGATATGATCAGGGAAAAGTGAGTTAATATCTCTGAGCAGTTGTGCATCAATTACAGTTGGTTAGCTTTTTAAACCTGATTCTCATAATGTTTTGTTGAAATTGTTTTTCAGAGCTGCACTTCTACAGATGAAAGGGAAGTATGTCGTGAATGAAAGCCAACTCCTCCAGTTGTTCGGGCGCAAGTGCCCGTTATGTGGTTCTAAAGTAAAGGTGGAGAAGGTCACCTGTGGGGTGCTCCTCATCTTGAACCAACAGTGCCTTCAGTGTGAGTACAGAAACCAGTGGAAAAGCCAAGTCAATGCCAGCGTCCCAACAGCTGAAGATCAACACCTGACAGGAGGTATAGACGTGACTCTAGAGACCCAGGTAAGACTTACTACAACATAGGGCTGTGCGATATCACAAAAATTTCATATCCCAATAACGATATATCCCATTTTTTGTAAACTCAATAAATTATATAATTAGTTACTGTTACTGAGTTAATTTCCAACATTAACTGGTGATATTTTGCTGCATCATAAAGGTGTGATAACTTATGTGATTCTGGAGAAATCCGAAAACATGACAAATATCATATCATACAGAGTGAACAATGACACAGCAAGTAATGTAACTAACGTTAGCTTGGTTGTGGGTTAGCAAACTGTTGCTACTTACTGCTGCAAAGCTAACGAGGACGAGATGGTCCCAGAGCAGCACAGCAGCTCCAAACCGCGATACTCACAGCTCTCCTGCTGTTAGAGCTAACATCACAACAACAGCATGTCTTGGTGAACTAGAAAGTAAGCTGAATATCCGTGGGCAAGCCAGTAAAAGTTACCTGACACATCATGCCTGGATCTGCTGGAATAGTGTTGCGTGGCTCAACAGACTTCTCTCTTTGGTGTGGACTCCTCATTTTAGCTTGCATGGTCTAATTCCTCTTGGTCAGTATTATCCAGTTATGAGTAAGCTTCACTCTCATTTCTTCATCTTCTCTTGGTCATATATCACTGTAAACTGATTGTCTCTGGATTTTGGGCTTTTGCTGGGACAAAACATTGGAAGACGTGACCTTGGACTTGGCTTGGGCAGTATCAATTGTTTCATACCTTAATGCAAAGCGAGTGGCAGGCGCAAGCAGTAAATGTACAGTGTAGGTTACAGCTTGTCAGTGAATTTCACACCTGTAGATTGGTTCATTTGATCCGGACCAAGGGGGAAAAAATTATAAACTGTTGCATTTTAGTTCTGGTACGGTTAATGTTCACACTGCATTTTTACAAACGAACCAAGCGGAGAAACCTTGAAGTTATACAGACTGACGGGTAACTTATTTATTAGATAGTTTTGGCGATCATCATCCTGCATCATAGGCACATCATCAGGACCCACATGGGGAAGTCAAATTTTGGTGATTGACAAAAGTTTATGTCACACTTTATTGCCTCTGATGTGTATCGCAAAGAGCTCACAAAGACAAATGTCATTATAAGCATAATTAGTAATATTAGACTGCAAATCGACCACATATTATGAATAATGACACAGAAACATGACGAAAAGCAGTACAGGAATGATTTGGGGCTTAATGTTGGGTCACTGGTAAAGTACACAGAGTACACATTTTGAACAATAAAAAGCTGTAAATAATAAAGATGTATTTTTCTGACTGTGTGACTGCTTGGTACTTTTAAAGCAAAGTATTTGTAATAATCCAACTAAGTAGGTAGTAATGAAATGCAGCTGTTTAATGTAACTTCATATAAATGTAGCTAATGTTACATAGCATTGTTGCAGAATTATTACTGACCTCTGTTGCTGCTATTTTTCATTTCTGATGCTGTTGTTATTAGTAGATTAAAATACAGGTTGAACTAAGCACTTTACAAGCTGTTCTCTTTTTTTTTGTCTAGTGTAGTTACAAGTTTGTGTCTTTTCCTTTAAGTTCATTATTGTGATCTTGTATTGAGCACCATGGGCCTTCAGAAATGGCATTTCGTTCATTTGTGTACTCGATATGTGGATGAATGACAACAAATGAACTTGAACTATCAATTTTTCACACCCCTACTAAACATGGCTTATACAGATCTATTATAAGATCGCTTCTTGAACACATTTCACAGTCAGCAGATGGATTCATTAGTGGTTTAGCTTTTAAAATAATCCTCAAGGGGATGAACGAACCCTAGTGCGATTCAGCCGAACATGCGGGTCCATCAAACTGCTGATTGCCCGATTAGAACCTCTAAGCCACAGCTGCCCCAAATGAAAATGACTGTCAGTTGCAGACCTATAAATAGGTCAGTTAGTATCAAAAATCCTAATGCGTCTGTGCTGGCATCTCTTTGTTCATTTGGCTCTAATATTCACCCTGTACAGACTTTGACAGTGTTACATTAATCCATTTATTGTCATATCTTTCACAGACAGTGTCAACTGATCACGACCACAGCACTATCACACGTGTCTCTGATGTTGCTGCTGCTACCAATGAGGAGAGTGATCCCATGTGTGAAACGGAGGAGTCGGGTGATGAAGGTGATTCAGACGAAGATTGGAATCCAGTGGAGCTTTCATCGGGTAACGAGCTTCTTAATGATGAATCTGATGAGGAGGAAAGCGATTACGAAGGTGATTATTCTTACTTTGCCACCCATCATAGGGAGCTCTGCACAGATTGCGGGATGTTTTTCAGCAAACGGTGGCCTCACACGTGTGAGCACAAAAGTAAACCCTATCCTTGCAACATTTGTGGAAAAAGATGTGTTAGTGAGGTCGCTCTCAACTCTCACAGCAGAATCCATGATGCAAACTATGAGCATCAGTGTAAATACTGCCACGTTACATTCAAAACAAAGGTGGACAAAATCACTCACCAGCAGATCCATCTAACTGAAGGAAAGCCCTACAAGTGCCCTGACTGTTCAGAGACATTTGCCTCAAATAAGGATCGCAGAATACACCTTGTGGATCACAGAGGCCCCCAGCAGTTAAAATGTGACATCTGTGGGATTGAATTTAACCGCCATGGGCCTCTCAAGAGACACTTATCTGTGCACACGGGAGTGAAGCCGTTTAAATGTTCGGTGTGCAAACGTGGCTTCAACCAGGCGAGCCACCTGAAATCCCACATGCGTCTGCACACAGGGGAGAGGCCCTACAAGTGTCAGCATTGCGACAAAAGCTTCAACCACAACGTGAGCTTGAAGAGTCACGTCCAGCGCTACCACACACCGGGCTCTGGATGTGCACGGAAGAGGGGTAAAAAAAAAAAAACTGTGGGCGACACCGTTGATGCTCAGGAGAATGAGAACCAGAAAGGGACAAACTCGGGGCATGACAATGTAGACGAAGAACATGACGAGGAAGAGACGGTGCAAAAGGAGAGAACAAATATGCCAAAAAAGAAGAAAAGGAGGAGCACAGGTAGACCCATAGGAAGGCCGAAGAGAAATGCAGAAAGCCAGCGTTCAAAAACTATGACTGCCAAAGTAAAGGGGCGCAAGTTAAAGAGAACACATTACAGTGTTGAAGAAAGTGAGGATGAGCCGACCGCAAGTGAAATATCTTTTGACCCAACAGAGGAGGAAGAGGAGAGGAGTGACAAAGCGACATCGAACACAAGCAGATCAAGAGGAAGGGCAAAAGTTTCTGACATGGACTCTGATTCTGACCCAAAAGACCCAAAGAAAAAGAGGTATAGCAGCCAGAGCAGTGAAAAGAGCTCAGAGACACGCAGGGGACGACCAAGACAGAATCAAGTAGTTGAAGACATTTGAAGAAGATACTGAGTAGAGCATTTATTATGAGTGTCATAAAGAACTGGACCGTTTTCTGTGACATATTTGATATTGCACACTTATCAGTTGTCTTTGTGTGTGACACAATGTCCAGTTGATTTCAAGATACTTTTGAATCATGTTAACTGATGTGTGTATCATGGGAAAACTGGGTAAAATCAGATTAAACTGGATTGATGTTAAGTGCCTGTTTTCCTTTGTGTTGTAGATTAATTAATTTCTTAATACTGTTAAATAGTGTAGATGATGAAAGATGTGAGCCACGCCCCCCTAAGTTACTGTTGCTAAGTCCGTCAAACTGGCGGACCTGTCGGACTTCTAGCACGGCACTGCCAATGTTTATTACTGCACTCCCTGGAGAAATATTGTCTTAATATTTTTAGACAATAACTGCATGTTTGGAATGTTGGAGGAAATTGGAGCAACCAAGATGAAACACATGAAGACACTGTGAGAACATGCAAACTCCTGTGCTGTCCTGATTATATGTACATATATACAGAGAGAGAAACACTTTGTCTTTTTGGAAATGTCAAAATGTCTCTGTCAACCTGTGCTGGTACCCTGCTCACCACATCAACGTGTAACTGGCCATTAAAGACTGATGGCCAACTGGATCCACTGGAGGAGTAGAAACTGGAGAGACAGGTGTGGTACTAAGCATGAAGGTACTGCTCTCCACTTTTGTAGGCACAGGTAGACCTATGAGGGCGATTAATAATTAATTTTTGAAAGTTGCCATGTTCACCTAGAGGTGAATGATTGTTCATTTATTGTTTTTGTAGGCCTAAACTTACCAGCATTGTTTCTTGGATGATGGCAATGATTGAGGTAGAGGTGGAGGCTGATGGACCTGCTATGTAATAATAATAATAATAATAATAATTAAAAAAATAAATACATTGACTGAATTAAAATGACTTGAGTTCTTTGCTGAGATGTGGAAGCTCTTATAATGCAAGACAATCTGCAAGAGTTTGATGCGGTCTCCTTTAAAAAAAACGACTTTAGGTAAGATGTCTTTTCAACACTGGCAGCTTTGGAGGAGGCTCCATAATGTTGCTCCAGAATTAGTCCTTAAAAACAGCTACACACTCCCCACATGACTGATTTGATTTGTAATCAAAGAACAGGGCATCTCTATAGGTTTAACTAAAACACAACCTACCAGCCATATCAGCTTCCTGGGTGACATGACCTGTTCAAACATGGCCTGGTTTTGTTGCTGCTTTATGACACAAGATGTGAACAGCACAGCTCCATAAATAATACTAGATATATAAAAGATGGGCTAATGGCTTAAACTGTCCTAATAACAATATTAACTTAATCAACTGTGTTTAATAACACGATTTAATCCTAAACTATGGTATAATACTAATATTATACCAATTTTATGCACTTTGAAGAAGTTGTGATGCTAATCGCGGTTAGCATGTTGGCAAGTATAGCGTTAGCATTGTTAATACCAGCGCGGCTAACTAAGGCCTTTAGTTCAGATTATGTAAAAATACAGGCATAGGAAAATGGAGCCTGTGGGCTTACTGTTGCGTTTTTTTCAGATTTTGAGAAAGGAGAGGCTGGATCCGATGAAAATTAACAAGAAAACTGAATAAAAAATAGGTGAATACAAGATGGCATTACAGAACAAACAACAAAACAAAAACACTGCAGTGGACTGGAAAGTTGTTCCTCTTTTCAGATTTACAGCTTACAGTCCTGATTCTCGCAAAATGAATTGTTAATATCCTCCAGGTATGTGGGCGGGTCTTTTCCTCCAAATGGCACAGGACCATAGCCATTGGTCATTTGGTTACTTCTTCGTCACCCAATTAGGAAGGGTGTACCTTACTGCTCTATGTTACTTTTGGTCGAACAAAAGAGCGCCAATTCCCAGACCTGAAACCCCCTTCAATCTACAGGAATAAACAGTCTTTTGCTCTAAACTAATCATGGAGAACAACAGGGCTTGTCTACAAAATGGTTGACACCCTATCTTGAGTGTCAATGAAACAGTCAAAAAACTGTCCTTATGGCACTAAACAAAGAGGTGTCCGTTTTCTTTACATTACAAAGAGGATACAAACAATGGTTTAATCAACATTCTAATGCAAGCGTTTGGCCTAAAATCCTGCAGGTTTATATTTGAAGGAAAGCACTGAAACACTGGAGTACATTAAGTTTGTTGTAACTTTTTTAAAACTCAACATTACTTACCTTTATCTTCTTGCCTTCTCTGTTCTTCAAGCCTCTTCTGTTGTCTTTTTACATGTCCAGACAAATATGATCTTGTCAAACAAAAGATCCTGACTGACCCAGCATAACGACGTCTCAGGGTCAGTCAGGGTCAGAAGTCACAGGGAGGTCCGAGCGAGCTGATTTTCCATAGTATATAACTAAATTAAATAACCACTATGCTTATTATGGTGTGTAATATGGAGAGCTGTCTTTCATTTTATTTTACGTTTCTTTTTACCACCACTAGCAAGGAGTGACTGTAAGGAACCCTCTGCTGGCCATGGGACCTTATGCCAACACAAAGTTCGCTTAGTTGCTCGGCCGGCTCTAAATACACACATATAGTTTATGTATTACCTGTAAGTATTTATTCAGCGATAAACGGGAAAAGTTCATCTGTATGGAATATCTTGTACGTAACATGGTCAATCTACATTAATGTTTGGCGGTGCAAGCAACAATCCTAATCCCCACTTTTTGAAGACATTTTTATAATTTAAGTAATTTCATGAATCAGAAAGCCATACTAGCAGCTTTGTGAGGATGTACTTAGCCACAGCCGTGCTTTGAGCTAAATGCTAACAGTCAGCATGCTAACATGGTCACATTCATAAATGCGGCTGCCATCTTGAACCGGTCGTACTCCCAGTTGCGCAACTGAAGAAAGCAAGATGCCAGACTGCTGTTTAGCATATTCATGCTCAAATCGGCGGACCATCGCAAACAGGGCTCGGGAGATTAATGTTACTTTTCACAAGTAAGATTTAACATGACCGTACTATTGGTTGTATTTTGTTAATAGAATATTACCAGAGAGTTGAGAAGGAGCAAGGATCTTTGATATTACTGTAAGTTACTGAAATCGTAGCCAGCTAGCTAGGCTATGTTTACTGCACCGGCCGGTGTTCACCCGGCTATGAACTGAGACTTGATAAATCATATTCCATATTTGTATATTAAGGTTGCTTTGTTGTTATTTTCTCTGTTCTGTAAAGTGTGTTTGAGCACTGTGTAAAGCGTTATATAAATATAATGTATTATGTTTTTATTATTATTATTATTATAAGGTGCTGAGAACTGCAGAGAGGGTGATGCGCCGAGCTCCAACAGTGCAAGCTCCTAAGGTGTCGACAGTCACACACATCGTCCAGGAGGAGATTGGAACGCAGGATGTTTTTCTGCGTGGGGAACACATTGAGGAAACACAGTTTGGCATCGACAACGTGTTAGTACAGTGTGTGTGTATGACAGAGGGACAAATATAAAAAGCTTCAAGTAGACTCTAATATAATTTAAATATATATTGTTTGTTAATCATATATTGTATTGGTTCAAATTATTAAAATATCTGACTTTACTCCAACTATCATTTTCTGCTTGTCTATTGTATTTATAGTGTGTGATTTGCAAAATACCTATCATAGCCTACATCACATATCATAGGGTGACCAGATGTCCTCAGCTTCAGGGACAATCCCCGTTTTTGGTTGCCTGTCCCTGGCTAAATACAGAAAAAAAACTCTGAATAGAAGTAATATTAATTTAAAATAGAAAAAAATTGATAGTCAAACTGGAAATGAGCCCCGTTTTTTCCCCCCTTTTCGTGGATTATGTTCCCAGTTTTGATCTCGGACGTCTGGTCACTTTATATCATATATCAGAATATTCTATTACTGTTGAGCCGAACCATGTATACTGCGTCATAGCTACATGTATGACCTTTGCAGCAAAAAACCCCACATGAAAATCAGTTCGGTATTCAGTGAGGTATGATTAATTAAATGCGCTGACAGGTCATTGCACCTGCCAAACAGATTACACTGAGTGGAGCGGGTGACCGGTTCAAGATAGCGGCCCTGTGGCTCGTCCACGCCAGTAGGCAGTAGTGGTCGATAGGGCGTCTATCTCTTATATGTCTATGGTCACATTGACAATGCTAACATGCATATAAAGTTCACCATGTTCACAATCTTAGTTTGATATAATAGCATGCTAACATTTGCTAATTAGCAGCACAAAGATATGTGCTAGCATAAAATCTTTTGCCCTGCTCAGCTGAATCATAAAGAGTCAGCTTTAAATCGCAGTGCGTTACTTCTACCAAATGTATCTATACTGTATCAGGGTGTGGACTATGTATCTAGGCTTAGACACACTCATATTATACAGACTGACTGTGACTCACCTTAAACATCTCTTCTTCCACCTGCTCATTCTCCTCCTCGGCTCGTCTGGTGGACAGTTGGAAACGCTAATGTTTAGCCGCCCATTTCCCAAAGCGTCCTCCTTTTTCATTCTCAGCGCCTCTTTGTTCTTGTGCTTTTCCACCCAGAAGGCATCCAAGTGTCTCTTAATGCTCTGCCTTTGGTTCTCACGGCAGAGCAGCATCTCCCTTTTCTGTCATTGGGTGAATGAAGTAGAAGTTTGCTGCAGCAGAGAAGAAGATTAGAGTGGAGATGAAAAATAATAGAAGAAATACAGTGGAAAAGGTTGTTTTTGTGTTTACAGGGTCATCTTACTTGGGCAAAATTAGTTACCCTCCTCCAGCTCCCTCCTGTACGTTTCGGCAATCTTCCTTTTGTAGTGTTTTGAATTAACCCATCAACCCAGTTTCAAATCCTTCTATGAATACTCATGTCTTTTGGTTTTACTCCAACTTCTTCTATGAAACCATCTGTCAGAACAGCGAAATCCTCAAAGTCCACCAGTTATTCTTGATTGTCTTTGGACATGTTTTGAGCTGATTCTCCAGTTCTTCTGGACATTCTGCCTGCTTTGGTTTGTCCTTCTTTGGAAGCTGTTTGCATATTTGTTTTTGTGCATTTATTTCAACCTTTTCATTATTTCTCTCTTTCCACCATTTCAGTCTCTCCTAAATCAAGTTCAGGGAGATGGATTTCTACGTTAGAGAGTCCAGTGAGGTGGTTTTTCCTCTCACTAGAGATGGGAGCTGCAGAGACTTTAGCAGGACTTCTGCTCTCTGCTACCAGGGCTGGTATTTATCAAGCTTCTCAAAGTGCCATTTTAGTCTCAAGTGCTGAGAATTCATGAAATTTACTCTAAGAATAAAAGCAAGTTATGAAATTTCTCAAAGCTAAGAATCTCTCTTGTCTCCCAGTTATTTAAGACAGCTCGAGAGGTCTCTCAAGTGGTTAGGAGCTGCCAGTAGGGGCTTGTGATGGCACGGTGGAGACATGCACAGACAGAGACATGCACAAATCTTTCAGAAGAGGAAGAATGTTTCTGACTTATTTGACGACGCGCAGTTAATAAGACGGGGTCGGACAGCGGTCGGATATCATCTCACCACTGACTTTACACAGTCATGTGGTTTCAGTTAAATTGAAGGCGGAGATGACGCTTTGTTTATTTGCCACAGGTTAAACGCAGCAATGCTGATGATTTTGGCCGTCACAACCATCAATAAGCCCAATAGTCATGGAAACAATTATAGCACTTAGTCTACAGCTCCACACATTGTCATGCGTTTCATCGACTTCCCAACAAACCCCCCCCCCCCGTAATCCGACAGAAGCAAACACAGTTCATGCAAAAAGCCGGCAATACAGGAGTAATAGGTGTACTTGATGGCGCTCATATAAAGATAAACTTTTTTATCTTTCATTTATTAATGTGTAGGCCTATATCATGTATTATCTTGAAACTTCTTTATTGTTAA